ACTGCCACCATGGTTGGTGAACAAATGAGCTGACTAGCTCTAGAACAACTGTGTATCATACCTCGGTGGTGGCCTGGTGGACATCAGCACCAGCCTCTAGCAGAATGTCCACTACATCAGAGTGTCCCTCTTGACTGGCAGCATAGAGTGGACTGACACCATCCTGTACAGTGAGAGAGTATGAAGTGGGGTTTACTTCCAGTCAGGAACATGTAATTACGTACCAACAGTGTTTGCTGACATGCATGACTATTTGTTAGCCATTGCCTAGAAATAATTTCATACAACTGGAGGGTGTGGAAAGTAAGCCCATGATAAAAGGGGATCACCAGTTAGAAAAGTTGTTACATTCCCTTGACTGGGGTGCATTATTCAGCTCTGAAGCTTGTGCAGATATCATGGTACATCCAAGGCCGCCTTGTATGAAACTTCCCACATTTTTATGGCTAGCCTCAGCCTCATTAATCCATTGACAACCCGACAGCGCTGAGTACACAATCAGTATGAGGCTAGTAGTAAATTAATATGGCTCTGGTCTCATCAACAGATGAGACATGAGAGTGCCCGAAACAACTAGTTTGCAGTTTTACTCAAACCAGCTAGAGAGAGTGTAACAACTGTACAATACCTCCTCACAGATACTGATGTCAGCTCCATTCTCTATCAGCAGTTTAACTACAGCTGTATGACCATTCAAGGATGCCAAGGAGACTGGAGTCTCACCACTCTGTAGAGAACATACAACAGAACACTGGACATGGGACATGGTGTGAGGTGAGAACAGAAATTGTCAGTCCACAATATTAACATGAATGTGGGGAGTTAATGTGAGAGTTACACACAAGTACGACACGCGAAGATTGCAGATTTTAACTCTATTTCGTCCATTTCAAGTTAAGTGAAACTTGACAGGACATGTGACAGTAGCTTCCTTGTTTTCAATAGATACTGTATGAAAAGATTGATTCAAAAATAGGCTCACTTGGTTTACCAATTATGAGCCTATCTCTATAGACTACTGCACGTGAGCCTGGGATCAGGGCTATCCATAACCTTGTCCTGTTGGTTGACGTTGGCTCCTGCCTTCAACAGTCTCTGAACTGTCTCAGTATGTCCTTGAAGAGCAGCTATCCCCAGAGGAACATCACCACCCTGATGAGAGAGAGAAACTGTGAATTGTAGAGTTCATCATTGGCAGGTCAGTGAGGACCAGACACCTCAGAGTGTGGTTTCAGAGGATCAGGGAATGAGACACGACACTAACCAATACTCAAAGTGTCAGAACACAGACGTGCAAATTGAGCTATAAAAAAAAGAGTAAGAATGCTGCGTTCTCAGGAAAACCAAGATAAAAAAGTGTAAATCCTGCATGAAGGGTGAGTATGGGATGTAGTAATGTTACAGGATAGGGAATGAGACACGACACTAACAAACACACAGACATACAATGCATCAGAACATGGTAGCTATGGCTTTTCACTTTCGTAAAAGTGCTGCGTTCTCACGAAAACCAAGAGAGAAAAGTATGTTCCATATATGAAGGGCGAGTATGGGATGTAAGGTTTCCTAAAATGTTACACTGTGTATTATACCTAGCTGATTGTAGAGTGAGACAACGGGAAACTAGACCATTATTGTAGGACAAGACACAGACATACATAAATTCTTGCATTCAAATTACACACATTTTAGTGACATGTGTTGCACTAACAAAAGTGCTTGACAGCTTTGTTGTACATACCAATCTCAGTGTTGAGGTCTAGTCAGAGCTCTTGGCTACACCACTGCCACCATGGTTGGTGGACAAATGAGCTGACTAGCTCTAGAACAACTGTGTATCATACCTTGGTGGTGGCCTGGTGGACATCAGCACCAGCCTCTAGCAGAATGTCCACTACATCAGAGTGTCCCTTATAACTGGCAACATAGAGTGGACTGGCACCAACCTGTACAGTGAGAGAGTAGGCAGTAGGACACCACTAGTGAGGTAGTCATGTAGGACATGTAGCTACCAACGGAGTTTGCTGAGACTATGGTTAGCATTTGCCTAGCAACCAAATACTATAATTTCAGGCTGCAGGAATGGGTTTGCAAAATAAGACCATGATGAAAGGGGATCACCGGCTAGCAAAGGTGTTGTATTTCCTTGATTGTTGGCCATTTCAAGTTAGTAAAACTTTACAGTATGTGTGACAGTAGCTTCCCATAAGCTGGATTCAAAAGTAAACACAAATATCGGATCGGTTCTTATGGTGATAAAATTCACGTTGAAAATCGAGTTGGTTTACCGACTACAGCACTTTGGGATCCAAGTTTACGTTTAAACGTATCAGGTAGTATAAAATCGCAATAAAAAGAGTAAGCAAATAATACTTTGCCACCCTACACATGGCTCCTCCCATCTAATTACCCACAGAGTGCTTGGGTGAGAGGAGGGTGTTGCCACTCCCTCCTGCCCTGAGTACAATCACAGGGACTAAACCCTGGAAGAAATGGAGCCCGATCCATTAACTGAAATATGTATCCCTGGGAAACTATCAGTTGCTTTGGAAAAAGAATCACTCAGACCCTGACTTCCCGCATGACATCAACCACACAAAACTTGCACTTGTGTGCATGCCGTGTGCAGAGATGCACGTAGGAAAAAGTGTGTTGATTTTTACAACCAAAAAACTCTCAACCTTGTTCTGCTGGTTGACGTTGGCTCCTGCCTCCAACAGTCTCTGAACTGTCTCAGTGTGTCCCTCCTCGGCAGCTATCCCCAGAGGAACATCACCACCCTGATGAGAGAGAGAAACTGTGAATTGTAGAGTTCATCATTGGCAGGTCAGTGAGGACCAGACACCTCAGAGTGTGGTTTCAGAGGATCAGGGAATGAGACACGACACTAACCAATACTCAGACAAAGTGTCAGAACACAGACGTGCAAATGGAGCTATAAAAAAAGAGTAAGAATGCTGCGTTCTCAGGAAAACCAAGAGAAAAAAGTGTAAATTCAGTATGAAGGGTGAGATGGGATGTAGTAATGTTACAGGATAGGGAATGAGACACGACACTAACAAACACACAGACATACAATGCATCAGAACATGGTAGCTATGGCTTTTCACTTTCGTAAAAGTGCTGCGTTCTCACGAAAAGCAAGAGAAAAAAGTACGTTCCGTATGAAGGGTGAGTATGGGATGTAGTGTTTCCTACAATGATACACTGTGTATTATACCTAGCTGATAGTAGAGTGAGACAACGGGAAACCAGACCATGATTGTGGGATCAGACACATACATGTACACATAAATTCTTGCATTCAAATTACACACATTTTAGTGACATGTGTTGCACTAACAAAAGTGCTTGACAGCTTTGTTGTACATATCAATCTCAGTGTTGAGGTCTAGTCAGAGCTCTTGGCTACACCACTGCTACCATGGTTGGTGGACAAATGAGCTGACTAGCTCTAGAACAACTGTGTATCATACCTCAGTGGTGGCCTGGTGGACATCAGCACCAGCCTCTAGCAGAATGTCCACAACATCAGAGTGTCCCTCTTGACTGGCAGTATAGAGTGGACTGAAACCGTCCTGTACAGTGAGAGAGTATGAAGTGGGGTTTACTTAATTCCAGCCTAGCCAGAAACAGAGTTGCTTACATCCATGGTGATTTGTTAGCAATTGCCTAGCAACCAAACACTATAACTTCAGGCCATGGGGTGAAAGGTGTGCAAAATAAGACCATGATGAAAGGGGGTCACCGGCTAGCAAAGGTGTTGCATTTCCCTCATTGTTGGCCCATGTATCTCACGAATCAAATGGTAATATAACAGCTACATACACTTCCATGAAGCCTTTGTTGTACTTGTATGTATACAGCTTCTAGCGAGACTCTCTACTGCACACACCCACATTAACAACCCTACTCTATCTCCTGAAATGCTACACTGTGTATTATACCTAGCTGATAGTAGAGTGAGACAAAACCAATGTGCACTTGTGTACTTCACAGCTATGTTGTGCATACCAATCTCAGTGCAGTCAGAGCTCTTGGCTACACCACTGCCACCATGGTTGGTGGACAAATGATCTGACTAGCTCTAGAACAACTGTGTATCATACCTTGGTGGTGGCCTGGTGGACATCAGCACCAGCCTCTAGCAGAATGTCCACTACATCAGAGTGTCCCTCTTGACTGGCAACATAGAGTGGACTGGCACCATCCTGTACAGTGAGAGAGTAGGAAGTGGGGTTTACTTCCAGTCTTGAACATGTAATTACCTACAAACAGGGTTGCTGACATGCATGGCTATTTGTTAGTTTTCAGTTTTACTTAACCAGCTACAGAGAGTGTAACAACTGTACAATACCTCATTACAGATACTGATGTCAGCTCCATTCTCTATCAGCAGTTTAACTACAGCTGTATGACCATTCAAGGAGGCAAACCAGACTGGAGTCGCACCACTCTGTAGAGAACATACAACAGAACACTGGACATGGGACATGGTGTGAGGTGAGAACAGAAATTGTCAGTCCACAATATTAACATGAATGTGGGGAGTTAATGTGAGAGTTACACACAAGTACGACACGCGAAGATTGCAGATTTTAACTCTATTTCGTCCATTTCAAGTTAAGTGAAACTTGACAGGACATGTGACAGTAGCTTCCTTGTTTTCAATAGATACTGTATGAAAAGATTGATTCAAAAATAGGCTCACTTGGTTTACCAATTATGAGCCTATCTCTATAGACTACTGCACGTGAGCCTGGGAACAGGGCTATCCATAACCTTGTCCTGTTGGTTGACGTTGGCTCCTGCCTCCAACAGTCTCTGAACTGTCTCAGTGTGTCCTCTGGCAGCAGCTATCCCCAGAGGAACACAGCATTCCTACGTGGAAAGAGTGGAGTTCAATTGAATTTGGCCACATTTATGCAAACAAACAAATCAATGCACGTTGACTGTAAAATAATGCTACATTTCTATCTACTACACAGGGTTTTCACTAGCCACAAGGAGGATCAGGGTCTTACGTACTGCAAGATGACAAAATTTTGTTTTTCATGGACTTTAGTTGAACCTACAAGGGAGGCAGGTGGGCAGGAGGTGCTGGAGGACCACCAATAGGAGGGCTGGTCCCCCAATCTTCTTGATAAGCTTGCTTTTACTACTATTGTACCACTGCATCATAATTACTACAAACTGCAAGACACACACAGTATTATTGTCATGTGAGTGCAGACATGAATTGTATGTTTTCACTTGAATACAAACACATTTCCTCACATACCTTGGCTGTTGCCTGATGTACATCAGCTCCTGCTTTCACCAGTACATCCACCACCTCAGAGTGTCCCTCTTGACTGGCAACATAGAGTGGACTGGAACCATCCTGTACAGTGAGAGAGAACTATAATGAGACATTCCTGACTCACTACTGACCACTCATCTCCCTCCCTGGACACCAGGAGACCTGACGACCATCTCTGTGAGGTCTCCTCTTCATCCAACCTTCACAAGTCAGTCTACACTCCTCACTATAGGCTAAGACTGCATACTACTGGGAGGTCTCTGACTATCATGGTATTAGAGAGTCGGTAGACTCTCTATATAGGGATGAGACGGGTGAAATCTCACGTGATCTGCGTACAAAACTACTAAAAACGCGGTGAGAATCACTCCCTAGGCCTTCAAAGCATACTAGCAATAGTCTACGGGCCCATACATGTCCCCCAAGACCTCATACGCACCTTCAGTTGTCCACGGGAGAATTCGCTCATACGCGATTTCACGATTTTCGTGTCATCATATTCTTCATCTTCTTCTTCTTTAAACCCGCTATCTCCTTACCAGTACCAGTTCGAGCACTGATTTTTTCACTGAAGGTCTCCAATTTCGTCGGAGGTGTACGCGGACATCAAGCGATCGTTTATTTCTTGCCGCTAGTCACTACGGTAGATCATGGAGCTCTTCCATGGTCGACACTGAACAACGCCATTTGCTGCTAACTCAGCATCAGTCAGCCGTGCGCATGCGCAAGGCCGGGGCGTTGTCCAATGCGCTTGCGAGCGTATTACCAGGCCGGCCCGGGAGTTGGCAGACCTGCAGAGGAACTCTCAGCCTCCAGTACCTTCTGTAAGTAAGTGTGCACGTTTCCAACTGGCTAGCTTGCTGTTGATTTGCACGAAGAGCAACTTTCCAGAGTCTGCGCGGTGTTAGCTACGCGAGCCTTGCGGGGGCGCGCTCAGTCAAATGGACCTTCATTGTTTGTCCCCCCAGGTTGTTGCCTGATTACCAAAGCCTGCCCATGAAACCACAACCATGTGCAATAATCTAATTACATCCTTGTTGAAGACAATGCATGAGGTGAATGCGGTATCTAGCCCCTGCTTCAGGCACAAGCAGCCCCATTTTAACAGTTACAATTTGTCTATGGTAGCCTATCTACAGCATGCCCATGAACACAGAGTGACTCTAACAATAAATGCAGTGTTGTCATAAGCTGTTAAAAATAGTGGAAACAAGTGGAAGAATCATTTCTTCAAAATGAAAGGGGGATATAGGGATGGCTTGAAGCACCAAAAAAGGAACAAACAAGGGGTCATTACACAGCAAAGTTGCACAAAGCTACATGACACCATCCGTATATCTTTCTTTTATTGTTTATAAGCAAAGTTTAATATCGAACAAAGATATAGGGATGGTGTCATGTAGCTTTGTGCAACTTTGCTGTGTAATGACCCCTTGTTTGTTCCTTTTTGGTGCTTCAAGCCATCCCTATATTCCCCTTTCATTTTGAAGAAATGATTTTTCCACTTGTAGAATATATACCTCATTGCCGATGCTGACATCAGCTCCATTCTCTAGCAGTAGCTCCACTACTGCTCTGTGACCATAGATTGAAGCGAAGTACAGTGGAGTACTGCAACACTGTGTATGTACAGACAATTGGAACAGACAACAATACAGTAGAACATGACATGGACTCCAAACCTTGTCAGAAATGAAGACTGCAGCCCCAGCCTTGAGCAACAGACGTACAACCTCAACATGACCTCTGAGAGAGGCTAACAGTAGAGCAGTGTCTCCTTCCTGCAAGTGGTGGGGATACAGAGACCAGTGGAGCAGCAGTCAATGAGCTGAGTCAGAAATGAGACTACACATTCACTAGTAGAGAGCCTCACATCCTCAGTCCTGGAGTTGATATTGACAGAAGTGGAGAGGAGTCTCTCAACTGCCTCCACATCTCCTCTCTGAGCAGCATCATGGAGCTCTGTTCTTCCCTTGAGAGAGGGAGAGACACAATGGTAGATAGAGAGAGATAGGGAGAGAGAAGTGTGGATAAAAGAACACAGAAACAGGTTTAAAAGCAACATCCTGTTGTGCAAACCTTGGTAGAGACTTGTAGATATCTGTATAGGGAAAGGTACTACTGAATGTTGTCTAAAAAAGTTATTGACATAACAATACCTGAACTGGCAAGACTGGACATGTTGTGTAAAGTCAGACAACTCTCCTTTCCACCAACAGCCTTTCTCCTTGTGACGACAGAACACATGAAGCTCCTTCACTTGTCGACGGACGTGTTTGTCCAGCACAGTACTCCAGTCAGGAGACTTGCAGAGTGGACATGGTCCTCCCTCTCCCTGTATTCTGGTGGCAGACTCCTCTGAGAGATGTTTACCACAGTAGGACGTGAGGTGAGGCTGGAGCAGTAGACCCAACGTCACTGGACAGAAGAAATCCTCTGATGGCTTCTCAACGAATGGGTAATCCTCTTCTGGTGAGAGACGTGGTTTTTTTGCTTTGGGTCTGGATGGATGGTATAGTTGTAATGGAGTCCTAGATTTCATCACTAGGTATAGTAACATACTGAGTAGGTGATTTATCAGTAGCACCACCAGCTGAAGGTCCTGCACCAAGTGACGAGACTGCTGCCGACTTCTGCAGTACAGTTAAAGATAGACATGGAAGTAACAAGGAGTTATTATACAACACACAATCTCACCTGAGGAGGTGGATAAACCTTGACTCCAGCAATTTGAAGGCTAACTGCAGTATACTTCTTGAGGATGAGGTGAGGGATGTCTTCTCTCAGTTTCTCGACAATGGACTCTGGTATATATGAACCAGGTGATGATGAAGGAGCCTGGAAGGGACTTTAGCCAACAGCATGGCACAGTCTCGAAGCTTGTAGTGATAGGCATACTCTTGTCGAAACTGCTCCACAACTTCCAGTGTCACTTCGTGCGGCCAGTCAAACTCTGCGACAATCTCTTTGAATTCTTCAGATGGCTTCCTTCTCCTCTTCTTCTGACACTGGCAGAACAGAGCTAGTGGTGTCTTCTGGCGGAACCTCTGCAGATCTAGCTTGTAGGCCTCCATCTCACTCCTCACCTCCAAACCAAATTCCTTGATCAGGTAGTCCAGCAACTGGTAGGACAGGTAGTTCCACTGCAGTAGGCTCAATTTACCAATCAACTCAGGGATATCTGTTGACTGGTAGAGATCGCTCAGATTTTCTTTCAGAAACAGTTCATGTTTCTCAATGTCATCTGCAGGCATTGATGTGAGAGCATCAACGAGTTGCTTGACAGAAATCTTGCGTTTCTCGAGGCACCCCCTGGCAGCCTTCTTCAGGTCATTGAACCTCTTCTCAAACCTTCTAATCTTGGCCTGGACATACTGAGTGGTCATTGGACCTGTCGGACAGACCATGGTCACATAGAGTTATGGATCAGTGGCAATATCCCTGACAGGTGTGGAGCATACGTACTTGGCTGAGGTGACTCTGGTCGATGCTGGAGTTCAGTCACTGAATCCCCAGTTGCTGGAGATGAAGGAATAGACACATGTATATGAAGCATTTTTCACTCATAATGTGTATCATATACAACTTGGAGCGCAATGTACATTAACTCCCACTCTATCAAGATTCATTGTTTCCTTAAATGTATAAAGAATGCAAACTTTATTCATTACTACTATTACATAAATATGACATTATTGAGTGGGTGTGGTTGAACTTGTCTGCATGGCCATCACCACCATTTCTGGGTCCAATGGCAGCTGCCATAAGGGTAGCTACTCATAATAGGGCTGGAAAGATTATATTTTCTTCATTGTGAGCTTATAACAGTATATTACCCTCTTAAAAACATTATCCATTGTGACTTTAATGATAATGACACACGTGGTGTGACTGGCAGAGAATCGAGCATTACAAATTCTCCGGAGTGGCCCTGTTAACAGCTACAGTAGTGGACTAACTTGGTTGTGGTAGGTCTGATTGAGAGTCCACTTCAGTGAGTGGTGAGGCTCCAGAACCTGTGGAAACATGGAGTATTCAAACAAGCATGTCTTGCAGAAATACTGGTATTATGTTGAGAGCCAACAGTCTAAATTTGGACAAAGTTAGGTAAGTCATTACCATGGAGAGGAGAAGAGAGGCCTAGTTGAGAGGAGGTGGCCGGACTCTGAGAGGAAGAGACTGAAACAGAGAGAGAGAGAGGAGAGAGAGAGAGAGAGAGAGAGAGAGAGAGAATTTTAAAATTTCCTCCACACAAGCCCTATTATTGTCGCGAAGTTGTATGATGCACAGCTATAATTTATTTCATAAGCACATTAGACAGGTAGCTACCATCTACTTGGTTTTCAGTTGTAACTGCATTGTGTGAAGTCTAACTAACCAGTTTTACAATGCTGCGTTCTTGGCCATCTACATACTTTCACCATTGTCCGCACTTTAAACAAACAATAAAAAGGGGATATTTTTGGGCATAAACCCATAAAAAAAGTATAGTGGCCTTAAGCTATCGTCTCAGACATTTTGTCGTCATTCACATTACATCAGTGCACAGTTGTTAGAGGACCCATCATAAGCAAGTTATAGGCACTGACACAATTAAAAAGTCATTATTGTCTGAGGCTGTTTGTTGTTGTTTACAAACTTGTAATTTCTGTTTTGATGAACTCACATCATGGTACATGAGTGTACCAAGTTTCAATGTTAGAGGACCAACAATAACCAAATGAGAGGCACAAACACCATTTACACGTTTTTATTGCCTGAGGCTGTTTGTTGTTACAAACTTGTAATTTCTGTTTCTTTCATGGTAAATGAAAAGCACTAAAATGCAAACTTGACGAACGGTGCAGGCGCGGTGCCACTATTTGATGGGCTGGGCTTTTAGTATGCATTTACTCGTGGTCTCCACACTAGTAGCTCGCGGAGAGTCTGACACGGACTAGCTACAGTAGTAGATAGCATGCGGGAGTCGATACACTCCATTCGTTGTGACTTCTTGTGCTTTCAGATACACAGAGCAAGCGGACCCGGTCAAGGTAAGCTTGTGCTAATTTGCATATTGGCTTGTCCACTTGCCTTTCACGCCATAACTTCTGAACGCAGTAGTTGTACGAAGATCGCCTTTTTTAAATGAGGCCAGTGTAGCGATGAACCTGTTGGTGTCGCTATTTCATTGACTGTTTGCGCATAGTCACGCAGAAAACATGGTAACTGACCAACGGACAGACAATCTTACTCACTCACGAAACAAGTACCGTAGCCCTCGCTGCGCATGCGTGCCGAGGGTTAACAAGCCAATACCTCGATTGCTCTTTGTACTTTGCGGAGGCACAAGATGTCACCACGAAGGCCGTGCATCGACTCCTGCATGCTATCTTATAGTGTAGCTAGCCCGCGTCAGACTCTCCGCGACCAACTAGCGTGGAAACCACGAGTAAACGCATATTCATAGCCCAGCCCATCAATTAGCGGTGCCGCACATGCGTAATGCGCTGAGGGTTTGCACTTTAATTACAAAGGGAAATGTGTGCACGTATAATGGCAGCATGAACTTAGCCCCTGCAATAAGGCAAAGTATGCATAGCACAGATGATCTTAAAACAGAGCTGTGATTACTACTTGTTTGGTGGTGACACGCCAGATGAAAGTCAGAAGGAGAGGGAAAAGGGGACAGACATTGCTGGCCTCGTTCCTAGGCTCACCCTCTCCGTGCACATAATTTATTCGCATGACCTTTGCCCCCCCCCTCCGCGTATATACACAAACTTTACTCCCCCTCTCTGTGCGCACAACAAATTTGGGCATAAAAGATGTGCACTTGGAGAGAGAACGAGGCTAGCAGCTGCCTCAGTGAAAAAGTTGGTCACTCAATGCCATAAGAAAACAGGTTATCTACATGGGATACGAGCTAAGAACAATGAAAATGCTGACCAGCAGATTTCATGACTCAAAACTCAGTCTTATAATATTATGAAGAACCAACCGAAAAAGTACTTGACTGCGAGAACAATGGATATTAAAATTGCTGACTGCCTCAGTGAAAACAATCATGTCTACGTCCGTGTAACCTTTGGTGTCTCCACCGTCAAAAGAGGTATTGGCCACAGTCAGTGATGTGCTAATGGATAATGCTGCATCTCCAGCCCTTGTATTTGGTACTTCAGCTGTTGATACATAGGAGATCATCAGGCACTGACTGTAGGTTATATACTCAACCTACCAGTTGTTAGCTTTACTGAAAGCGTATTTGCCACATCAGACATGGCAACAGTAGGGTGATTTAATGCACCGTAGAGATCTCTCCAGGTGCATGGCTCAATCTTCTTCAACCTGGTCTTGATCATGAGGTTGAACTTGTCATCCAGACCAAACCCTGTCTCAGCATCAATGCTTTCCAGCTCATGAACATTTAGTTTGAGTCGGGTGCCGATGTTGTGCCATTTTGATCTGGCGGCCCACAGAGCCTCCTGGACTTCGGCAAAGTCTTTGATGCCCACCTGGAAGAGTATTGGATGGTATAGCTAGCTTCAACATGCCCCGCCCTCAAAATGTTGCCCTTGTAAAAACATCTAAAAGGGTTGTTTCAGTCATCGACCAACACCCCGCCTACCTGATCAGACATGGTCAAGATAAACGACGTCGATGCTACCGGTAGTTTTCGTGATCCGAGCGGAGTTGAAGCCTGTGGGTATGGATGGGTGGGACTGTGCATGCACTGTCAGCAACTAGGCTAGCTAGCAGCACATAAACAAAGCTATGCGCGTGCACGCGCTGAATGCACTTGTGGGTGGGGCTGGACTCGGACTAAAGTCAACGGCTTGTAGTTGGTTCTACATACTACGCCTTATCAAGCCATTGCATAAGGCGTTAAAATGTAGGATAAGAGTGTAGGATTCAGCAGTGTGCCATGCATTGGAAGAGGATATGGATCGATGCACAGTATACACAAATCATGTGTGAAATGATGTTTAATATAATGTTGTTGGGACTTTGAGGGCCACATCTTTGTCGCTGTCATACAGTGATAACAATGGGACATGATCCATCTGAGCATGGAACCTTTTGACCACTTCATCCACTGTTTCTTTAATCAGAGAAGTGTCAGGGTGCTGTATGAAACGAGAATTTTTGAACATATCTAACATCTTGATTAACATAAACCTAATACAGACACACATGAACATTTTGCTGATCAAACTTACCCATTGCCACAATTTTAGCCTTGCACGTATATAACAACTATCCTCTGTGATATCAGCTGTAGCTTGTGGCTCCATGAGTTCAATTACGGCACACAAATCCCAAAATTCATCGGATGCTGTGATGCCTTCCTGTCAATTATGAAAATCTCGAAATGTTAGGTATAAGGAAGGCTGTGTGACATACAACATTCCTAAGCTTTGCATCAGCTCCGTGTTCCATGAGAATCATTACTTTGTCGAGATGACCTCCCTTGCAGGCAAACATCAGAGCTGTGTATCCAGTTTTCTGAATTATATAATAGGCTTGTGATAATAATTGAAGGGCCGAGACCCAGAGTGGTGAATCCCAAAATTAAGTATGCCAAATTGCCTAAAGAGTGCAAAAAATACGAAAAATATTGGTAGGGTATACTTTAAAAAGTGAGATTTGTGGGATTTTGCAAAAGATTGTCTCCTTCCAAAACACATTTTAATGGTAATTTCATGTCAAGGGGGTATAAATGGCCCTTTGTGGGATACACCATTCTGGTTCTCAGCCTTTCAATTATTGTCAATCAATCTCAACAATATTAGGAACTTTTACATATTAACCCTCGGCGCGCATGCGCAGCGAGGGTTACAGTAGTCGTTCTGTCTGTCTGTATATACGTCTGTGTGTGTGTGTTTGGTATGGGTTAAGAAGAGAAAGGAGGGGGGAGTTGTGGGGAACGAGGTGTAGTGACAGAGACTGGGGGGGACTTGTCGGCGTCATCAAAGCACCGGACCACCAGACATACACTCAGGCTGTGCATGGAGTTACAAACCGCAGTGTGCTTCCACATGCTATTTGGTGCATGTTCTACATTACTGTCGTTACCAATCTCCAAACCTAACAGCTAGCAAGCCCTGCCCCTCTGCCCTGTTTGTCTGTCATCTATCTAATGTCCAGAGTGTATGTATCACTAACTGTTGACTCACTTCTACTCTACTTGGGGGCATAATTGGGCAATATTGAGCTATTATTCTACTCTATGGTTTCTGTGTCATTTATATATTTGCAAGGGCACCTAAGTTATTGGAGTAGTAGGGAAACTAGGAGAGCAAGCTAATATTAGAGAAGAACGGTATGTGTGTATATACTACATACATATACAGGCACAAGAGTAGGACATGGATGCCCAGCCTTGAGAACTGGGGACGGTGGGTTAAAGATCTTTGATGGCTAGCCAACTCTCCCCACACATCCAATGTCACAGACTCTCGCGTAAAATCTACAGCTTACAGTACTGTATTGAAGTAGTTACAATCAACATACCTTAGGCTCTCTGGGGGACTTGCAATCCTATGGTTCTACTGATGCACAGTGGGGTATTTATAGGGAGTTGTGATGTCATAGGTATGGAATTTCCTAAGGGGGAAGTGGGCTTGTTGCTAGTGTCCTGGGTGATGTATTTTACTCTAGTGATACTCACAAGTGTAAAAATGTTGTGTGTGTGTGTGAGGCAAAACTGTTTTGGGAGTTAGATGACATCTAGGGTGTTTAGGCAAACAGTTATGAGAAGACCAGGGTGTCTAGTCTGGTGATAGTCATAGGTGTAAAACATGATGCTCTGTGTGTGTGTGTGTGTGTGTGTGTGTGTGATAAAAAAACCCACAGTAGTGGGGGAGGGCCAGGGCCATCCCCCACTACGTAAGGGTTAGTCACCTACAAGCGGTGTCTTCGAAGTTTTGACAACCGAAGCAGGTGTAGATAATACCCGAGGCGCAGCCGAGGGGATTATCCAACCTGCTGAGGTTGTCAAAACTGAGAAACCGCTTGTGGTGACTAACTCTTTTAGACCACGATAATTACTACCGCACCTCTGAACTTGCGCGCGCAATGCACCAGCAGCCTGTGTGCAGCTAGCTAGCTAGCTACTGAACGACGCTCGTTCTGACAGTCAGTCTTTGCACTATGGATGTAGAACGTTTTGATGTTGCTCCTGACGGGTGGTGGGACGAGGACGATCTGGAGAGCCGCGAGGTCGTCGCGCCAGCCGGCACTTCCACTGAAGACAGCACCGAATCCGCCGCTTCTGAAGAAGATCGCATCTTACTACTTGCATCACAACAGTATGAAGATGAGGCTAGTTCAAATGCTGTAGAGTCACCGGAAACCTCCGCTTCTGCTAGGTTTGGAGCGCCCGTGACGGCCATGTCAATTGACCAGTTAATTACTTCTAAGGTCCCAGCAAAAACTAGGAAAACTACTCAGTGGGCGATTAATGTTTGGAAAGAGTGGGCTGTTTTCCGAACGTCTTCCGCTTCGCGGGACGAGGAGGGGGCTCACGGGCTTAATGAAGATTTCGTTAGCATGAACGCAGCCGATCAGAGCTTTTGGATGTGCCGTACTGATTGACAGAACACTCTAAAATGTGAAGTATCTACAAGTGTCTTAGCTCCACTAAGACACCTCAGGTGTCTTAGCTCAACTAAGACACCTAACCACAGCAGTCTGGGTTACTTAGCTGTTTTGAGTATATACTCAAAGTAGCTGATAACATCAAAGCTTCCGAATCATGAATTATTAATGAGTGGTCTAAGTATTTTTTTGCATTTGGTGCAGGATGTGAGGTACACCAGGTTGGTGGAGGTGCATGAGAAAGAGTGTCTGATTTGGTAGATTGTGGGGTTACGAGCGTAGTTCGATTTGAAGGTGGACGCGCAGAGCAGGTGCATACTGCACGTCATACATCTGGGGTGTCGGCAGGGAACTATGGAGGGTGGTTTATGCCGTAGTTGTGGTAGTGCGGCTCTTTCTTCTTGATTACGGTTTGTAGGACCGACCATGAGTTGGACATCTATAAGTTGCTCATCCGAAAATGTTTGTGCTGAGCGTACCAGTAGATTTTGTATTGTTGGATGGCGTAGTGTGACAAATCTTGGAGATTGGAAGTGTAGAATATGGTAATCTTGTAGGACCAGCTGTTTAAGTAGTTTGTATTTTGGAGGTGGGACACATTTATAGAGAGGTGGAGGTGCTGTATGGTGTACTAGTTGTTTACATTGTAGATATTTTTGTCTGTTGTCATAATGTACTGTTCTTATGATGTTGTTGATGAGACGGAGGGGATACCTGCGTTTGAGTAGTCTTTCTCTGAACAGTTGAATTGTTGCCATGTACGTTTCAAATGTAGTGTTGGTTCTGATGTAGCGAATGCATTCTCCTTTTATGATTGCTTTGAAGGAGCTTGCAGGGTGGTTTGACGAGAAATGTAAGTATTGGTAGAGGTTGACGTCTTTTTGAAATGTTTTAGTGTCCAGGATGTTGGTAAAGTCAAAAAAACGGGCCTTTGTATATAGTTAAGTCTAAGAAGTCTATCGTGTTAGAGGAATGTTCGTGTGTAAAATGTAGACTGGGATGGAACTTGTTAAGGTTGGCGAGGAATGCAGTTAGGTCCGTTGTAGGTTGTGTCCATATCATGAAAATGTCGTCTATGTATCTTGTAATAAGTAGAGGTTGGATTGGTTGCGTTTTTAGGAAGTCTTTCAGGATAATGGACATGAATATGTTGGCTACGGTTGGGGAGAACGGTGCTCCCTTTGCTGTTCCTTTGATTTGCTGAAATGTGAGGTGGCCAAATGTAAAAAGGTGTTGTTGATGTTTGTGTGTAACAGTCGGATGATAAGATTAGGATTGCATGGTAGCAGGTGCCTGTGGGTGTGAAGTTCTTTGTAAATTATGTCTAGGCATTGTGTTTGTGGTATTGAGGGGTATAGGCTGCTGACATCAATGGTTACCAGGGAGGCATTATCTGGAACTTGGAGGTCTTGTAGAACGAGTGAGAGAGCAGTGGAGTTGTGAAGATAGTCCGGATAGGATCGGGCGATGGGTTGAAGGAGGTAATCAATTAAGTTTGCGGTGGGAGAGAGAAGAGAGGCAGATTGGGACACGATAGGACGGACTGGGGGGACTCGAACATATTGCTTATGAACTTTGGGTATTCCATAAAAACGGGGAGTTCTAGTTTTTTGTTGTAGATATTTGTACAGGCGCTTGTCGAGTGATTCTAATTGTGACTTGAAGGCAGCACAGACGTGTGAGAGCTCTTGTTTTATTTTTTGTGTGGGATATTGTGGTGCTAATCTGTATGTGTTTGTGTCAGAGAGGTGTGTCATGCATTGTGCTACGTAGTCTTCGGTGTTCATGAGTACTATTCCAAGATTTTTATCTGCAGGTTTTATGGTGATTTCTTGGCGTAGTTTCTTAAGCTTTTTTATTGAGGCTTGCTGTTCCATTGTCAGGTTGTGATTGTTGGTTAAGGTGAGCTGTGGAAGATTATCGGCAATGTTTTGTTTAGCGTCGTCGATGTAGTCTTCTAATATGGAAAAACCAGAGTATTTTGCTGTGTACGTTTCTGAGGTGACCGGTGGGAGAAATTTCATGCGTCTGTACAAGAGGGAGGTAGTTGTAGGTTGTGAGGTTGTGTATTGTTGTCTGGTATATTTGGCTCTTGCGTATTTTAATCGAAGAGAGGTTGCAAAGGTATTAAAGCTGTGAAACGATTGGTTCTGAGTCTTTAGATGTGGTGTGTGGTGTTGGAGAAAATGTGAGGCCTTTTTCCAGCAGTGTTCTGTCTTCCTTCGACAGTTGATATGTGCTGAAGTTGTGTATGGTCATGTCGGGTGGTTGTCGTACAAACGCTGGTCTAAAAAAGGCGACAAGTGTGCTGCCGGTGGGAGGGGACAAGTTTGTTTGGATGAAGGGCTTGGTTTCTTTTGTTTTTTGGATCTGTGGTGGTTGCATCTCTGCCGTTTTCTTTTTCTACTAGTGGCTGTTGGTTTGGTAGTTGGCAGGATAGATTTTGAGGTGGCAGCTGTGGTTCCACTTGAGGTAGCAGCTGTGGTTCCATTTGAGGTAGCAGCTGCAGTTCCACTTGAGGTAGCAGCTGTGGTTCCACTTGAGATGGCAGCTGTGGTTCCACTTGAGATGTTGGGAGGGGGAAATGTTGGATATGTGTTCAGGGTTTGTTGTAGCTCTGGGTAAATCTTGTGGGTGGGGACATTATTTTCTTCCAGAAACTTCTGGTGTAATTCCTTGATGGTTTCCAGTGGCACTGCCAGTTGAGCTAGGTGTTTCTCTGTGTCTAGGATGATGTCTCTGAGTCTGGCTTCTTCTAGTTCGAGATTGATGGAGTTGTATGTGATCACATCATCGAGGTGTTGTAAGAATAGGTCTTCGTATTTGCTCAGGAAGGTTGTGGTTAGTGTTGGGTGTGTTACTGGAGTGTCCGGAAGAGATAGTGGCAAATATTGTTTTGGGATGGTTCTGAAGTGTTTTATATTTCTTTGGTATTCGATGGTGCGGCTGAGCTTGTTGCGTACTTCAGAGTGCTGTTGATATCTCTGTGAGCGTTCTTGGAGGAATGTGTGGTTCATTGGGGCTATTATTCTCTCAGTCTGTGTGTATGAGAGTGATTGGGATTAAAGTGTGTTGTATTGTTGCTTGCAAAGGTGTTTTAGGTGGTTATGTGCTACCTAGCTGAGGAGGCAGCTGAGGTTTGTAGGGGTGTGTGCTTTAGGCTGTGACCGGCATATGTCTGATGGTCCTTAGCGAGACTGCAGCCCCACTCCGAAGAGCTTGTCGCCACTGGGTAGACGACTGGGATACCCCCGCCCAACCAGCTCCGTGGCACCACACCACCTGGTTCCGTGCAAGCACGTGTGTGTTTGGTATGGGTTAAGAAGAGAAAGGAGGGGGAGAGTTGTGGGGAACGAGGTGTAGTGACAGAGACTGGGGGGGACTTGTCGGCGTCATCAAAGCACCGGACCACCAGACATACACTCAGGCTGTGCATGGAGTTACAAACCGCAGTGTGCTTCCACATGCTATTTGGTGCATGTTCTACATTACTGTCGTTACCAATCCCCAAACCTAACAGCTAGCAAGCCCTGCCCCTCTGCCCTGTTTGTCTGTCATCTATCTAATGTCCAGAGTGTATGTATCACTAACTGTTGACTCACTTCTACTCTACTTGGGGGCATACATTGGGCAATATTGAGCTATTATTCTACTCTATGGTTTCTGTGTCATTTATATATTTGCAAGGGCACCTAAGTTATTGGAGTAATAGGGAAACTAGGAGAGCAAGCTAATATTAGAGAAGAACGGTATGTGTGTGTATATACTACATACATATACAAGCACAAGAGTAGGACATGGATGCCCAGCCTTGAGAACTGGGGACGGTGGGTTAAAGATCTTTGATGGCTAGCCAACTCTCCCCACACATCCAATGTCACAGACTCTCGCGTAAAATCTACAGCTTACAGTACTGTATTGAAGTAGTTACAATCAACATACCTTAGGCTCTCTGGGGGACTTGCAATCCTATGGTTCTACTGATGCACAGTGGGGTATTTATAGGGAGTTGTGATGTCATAGGTATGGAATTTCCTAAGGGGGAAGTGGGCTTGTTGCTAGGGTCCTGGGTGATGTATTTTACTCTAGTGATACTCACAAGTGTAAAAATGGTGTGTGTGTGTGTGTGTGTGTGTGTGAGGCAAAACTGTTTTGGGATTTAGATGACATCTAGGGTGTTTAGGCAAACAGTTATGAGAAGACCAGGGTGTCTAGTCTGGTGATAATCACAGGTGTAAAACATGATGCTCTGTGTGTGTGTGTGTGTGTGTGTGGTGTGTGTGTGTGATAAAAAACCCACAGTAGTGGGGGAGGGCCAGGGCCATCCCCCACTATCGTGGGTTTGGCCCTGGCCCCCATTGAGTTTTAACACTTAATCAGTCACAGACACACAAATGTGCTCCACAAGTCCATTAGAATCCACATGGGGGTTATAATACTAGGCTAGGCGCTAATACGTAAAATACGTAACATTCTACTTATTTAAGAAGATGCCCATGGCGTCCAAAGGGTTTTAATTAGGTGCGTCAGTAGTTGCTTGGTATCATTGGTATCATTGAAATTTTGTGAGTGCATACCTTCATATTGTGTTTGATACTGTATTGAGTCCATATGGGGTTAGAGTACGTAGAGTGTTGATCCAGAATTGCTCCAAGTGAAGTAGTTCCCGTCCATTTTTGTGAGTTGTGTCGATTGGTTGTACTTTGAGGTTGGTAATTGAGTGGTCTGGAAGGTTGAAGTGTTTGTGTATGAAAGTGGGTTTCTTGTTATTTATACAGGACCTGTGGTGGTTTATTCTGACGTTTAATTGTTTCGTTGTACACCCTATGTATTGTTTTTTGCATTTGGTGCAGGATATGAGGTACACCAGGTTGGTGGAGGTGCATGAGAAAGAGTGTCTGATTTGGTAGATTGTGGGGTTACGAGGGTAGTTCGATTTGAAGGTGGACGCGCAGAGCAGGTGCATACTGCACGTCATACATCTGGGGTGTCGGCAGGGAACTATGGAGGGTGGTTTATGCCGTAGTTGTGGTAGTGCGGCTCTTTCTTCTTGATTACGGTTTGTAGGACCGACCATGAGTTGGACATCTATAAGTTGCTCATCCGAAAATGTTTGTGCTGAGCGTACCAGTAGATTTTGTATTGTTGGATGGCGTAGTGTAACAAAAAATCGGATGCGCAGCGAGGGTTACAGTAGTCGTTCTGTCTGTCTGTATATACGTCTGTGTGTGTGTGTGTGTGTCGACGCTTATTCTGGCACTACAGGCTACGAGGCGGCCCGTTAGCGATACCAGCGGATTCAGAACTACGGGAGCCTGAAAAATTATTAGGCGATTTTCCTGAAACGACTTCGTTCGAGAGATATGCCGTGAAAACAAGTGAAAAAGCCAATATGCATAATCGCACTGGGCTTACCGCTACCTGATCCGCTCGCTCCGTGTTTGGGGGCTCAGGAAGTCACAACCAATGGCATGTCATGCTGTAGCTAGCCTGTGTCTGACTCTCCGCGGGCTACTAGCGGAAGACCACGAGTAAACGCAAATAGCGGCCCAAGTGAATAGAAGTGGCGGCAGAGACGCGAGCAGCGAGCGCCGTGGGAGCCGGAGGCAGACGATCGATGTCACCCGATTCTCAGTACACGTCACGTGGCTTTTTAAAATGCGCATGCGCAGTACGCAAGTAGAGAGCTGCACGGACGCAATGACATGGCCGTTCTTAACTTCGTGCGGCCAATCATATAAATCGCTCGGAAATTGGCCGTTGGCCGTCAGTAATTTTGTACTCTGCTTCAGTGTTTTATTTGACCTCTGAGACTTCTCTAAAAAGTCATTGGCCCCATATTTTCCCTTGTTCAGAGTTTCGGAGGTAAGGTTAGTTCAGAGGTAACCTTTTGTGCAGGTGAGGGTTAATCTTACAACTCAACCAACATAAAATACCTGCTCCATTTTGTTAACATCAACTCCTGCCCCTATCACTTCCTTGACCATTGCCACATTATTCTTCGTTACAGCCAACAGTAGTGGAGTCTGTCCAAACTGTGAGGAATAGTATGAACAAGCTGGCAAAACATAGGAATTGATAGAGGCAATACCTTGTTGCAGCCATTTCGGTAGGCACCAGCTCTGAGAAGGACAGAAGCCGTGGTCAAGTCATCGTTATAACAAGCCATTATTAATGCCGAGCCATTATTAGTGCCGAGTCCCGATACTGTAGTAATAAAATAATCATTCCATCTACCATTCTTAACTGTGGGGGTTGGACCGTAGCTAACACCACCAATTGGATCTACAGTATATACATACGTACTTTAGTAATGTTGTCTAGCTTTGCTCCATGCTCCAGCAACTTCTCCACAACCTTTATATACATGTCTTTTTTAAGATGCTATAATCAGTGAACTCCACCCATCCTAGCATGAATGCGCGCCTACATAGACACCTGTGTGTAAGCGAGGCCTAGTGCCTGGAGGTATGATAGTCTTGAGGCTATGGCCAGGAGACTGGGGTCAGAGACGAGAGAGCAGCCGGAGAGAGTGAGGGAAGTGAGGTAGGGGGAGGAGGAGGAGAGAGGGAGGAGAGTGGCGTCATCCAGGAGGGAGCAGGACTGGAGGTTGAGGGAGAGGAGGGACGGCAAGTGAGACAGCAACTGCGCCAGAGCTGAAGGGGCGGGAAAGAGCAAAATATTTGAAGAAGCATCTTTGTTCAGTCAATAACGAGGTGAAGGCAGTGCAACAAGTCAACTACACCCCTACACCCAGGGCAGCTCAATTTAATATGGCATAGCTAGTGTAGCTAGCTTAAACACATAGTAAGTAAGAGAACAACTGTGTAGTAAATTTAATGGAGATAGCCCAATACACTTGCAGTCCTTACTCTACCCAGAGTATGGAAGGGAATCTATGTACTATAAAGTTCCCAGTATAACAAGTGGAAAAATCATTTCTCAGAAATTGAAGGTGGGGGATGTGTAATAATAAAGAAGGAAGAAGCCTACACTGAGACAGAGTGTCATTCATAACCATCAGGTAGTTCTCAGTATAATGAGACCTGTGGTTGATAGTGAGTCCCGAGTGCCTCTCCTGACTCCAATGTCCACTCTCTTGAGGCGAGGACACAGTCTCCAGACCAGCCCCACCTCCTCTTGTGTCAGTTGACACTCACTCAGGTCCAGACTGTACATCCCTTCATGGAGAACCTATATTCCAACCAGTTCAAAATACTCTCTTCAAAATAGCAGCGCACAATTTAACCGTTCTTTTTCTAATTAACACAGGACTCTTATAAAGTGCCAAACAAAGCACACAAGTGTTTTTCAGTTTAAAAATTGCTGCTCTATTACTGTGCCAAAGTTGTGGGATGATTTGTGACGTTGCTATGGACAATTGGAATTAGAGTTTAACACTACTGAGTACAGTACCATTCTGGTAGTACATAAGTCTAGTTACTTGTACAAGTGGAAATATCATTTCTTCAAAATGAAGGGGGGATATAGGGATGGCTTGAAGCACCAAAAACGAACAAACAAGGGGTCATTTACACAGCAAACTTGCACAAAGCTACATGACACAATGAAGGCCCATTTCACTGAGCGCCCCGCTAGGCTCGCGTAACACCGCGCAGACTCTGGCAAGTTGCTCTTCGTGCAAATCAACAGCAAGCTGGCCAGTTGGAAATGTGCACACTTACTTACAGAAGGTACTGGAAGCTGAGAGTTCCTCTGCAGGTCTGCCAACTCGCCTGGTATATAAGACGCTCTCAAGCGCATTGGACAACGCCCCTGCCTGGCGCATGCGCGCGGCTCGCTGGTGCTGAGTTAGCAGCAAATGGCGTTGTTCAGTGTCGACCATGGAAGAGCTCCATTATCTACCGTAGTGACTAGCGGCAAGAAAGAAACGATCGCTTGATGTCCGTGCACACCTCCGGTGAAATTGGAGACCTTCAGTGAAAAAATCAGTGCTCGAACTGGTACTGGTAAGGAGATAGCTGGTTGAAAGAAGAAGAAGAAGAATATGACGACACGAAAATCGTGAAATCGCGTATGAACGAATTCTCCCGTGGACAACTGAAGGTGCGTATGAGGTCTTGGGGGACATGTATAGGTAGATATGGGCCCGTAGACTATTGCTAGTATGTTTTGAAGGCCTAGGGAGTGATTCTCGAGTTTTTAGTCGTTTTGTACGCGGATCACGTGAGATTTCACCCGCGTCATCCCTATATAGAGAGTCCACCGACTCTCTAATATACTGTAACTAGTGCAGCTCCTCTCTATTAGTCACTATTACACCACCGACCAATATCTAATACACTCATTCTACCAATACACCTGTCAGTAATGGCATACTCTACTATTGTACTAGGAAGTGAATAAACTCTCTTTGCTAGCTGCACCAACTGCAGTCATGTGACAATGATGTCATCTGATCATAATCCAACTATAGAATGATGACTAGTATTAACTGATGTGTTGGTTTGTACTGTTTGTATAGGTTCTGTGGCATGTGGATGTATTCAGACGCAGTTTCAGACAGTTCAAAGGTCACACATGTGTGGGCGAATCTTGCATCTTCTGTGCTCTTCAGGTAACTACTATATTATAGTGTGGTATATAGAATATGATGGAAGTCAAAGGTCTTAGTACGCAATTTTCATGTGTTTAGGTTGGTGAGCAAAATGGGGGTTGGAAGTTTCAGCACTATAGAATGACATAAAGCTAGTGCTGAAAATGAATTTGCTTCACTTGCCAAAGATTGACGTGTACACGTGCAGTGTGTATAGTGTTTACAAATTACATGGCTTTTTGCACTACCTCCCTCCCTCCCTGCAGGCACTATTCGTACAGTTCCGTCAGTCGGCCCTGCCTCCAGATGACCCATGATGTTACTGGCGTTGGGTAACCGTATGAAGCCTGCCTGCACGAACATGCGCTTGAAGTAGTCCAAGTCGTGCGACATGGCCCCGACAATATCATCGTGGTTCCCCCGCAAGGCGTATATCTCGGGAACCTCAGTCATGCTTTGTTGTTGCACTTGTACACACCCATTTGGCGCATGCGCACCAAAAGCGACCTACGCTGATTCTTTTGACTGCACTTTTCTGTGCGTTTTATTCCCCTTCCTAGCAGTCAGTCGGCCCTTCCACCAGACCACCTCAGGGAGGCTCTAGCTCGCTGTTACCAGGAGCAACACCGCTTCCAGCTCGGCATCATGGACGACGCTGCCGAATGCTTCGTAAGATCATCTACACTGTGTGTACCATAATTAGCGACCGAAACGGTGAACGGACCAGCATACCTCAACATTTACGTGATTCTAATTACACGCAAAACACGCGTGAAATTTTGAACATCAAACACGTGCACATCTGTCTTAAATAGTTGTGTGCACTGCTGGCTGTACCTGTCTTTTTACTTTCAGTCAGACGTCTTCATTTGGCTTATGTAAATTGCTATATTGTGTATACATATGTCACTGCAGGAGAAGATACTGGAGCAGATTCATTTCCACCTGACTGGCAGTGATGACCTCGACTCTTGTTCTGCAGCTCACTGTCTCTCTCATCAGAAATGCTCTCTCAGTGTCTTCGAGATGGTTGGTGGTGTTTGTGTGAATCACGTGTGTGAGCAATACATGTGGGGTGGTAGGGTGGGTGGTTAGCTGTGGGTGTTGAATGTAGCTCACTGTCTCTCTCATCAGAAATGCTCTCTCAGTGTCCTGGAGATGGTGGGTTGTGCATGACTTGTGTGCAATACATGTGGGGTGGTATATACAGGGTTGTCAGTGTATGCTGCGAGTGTTGAATGCAGATCACTTTCCAACAATACTACATATTATGCTCCCTCAGTATCCTGGAGATGGTGGGTTGACCACTTGTGTACTACATTGCCATTATTACGGAAATGTTGTGTAACCTGAATGTGTACATGTGGTACCAGTTTTAGCGATTTTAGTGTCCACACGAGTAGTCTGTGGACGGCTTGCTTGGGCTGCAAAGTGACGATGGTGGGATTCAAACTGCCGTCACTTTGCAGTCTAGAAGAAGAGCTATCCTGGTTGTACATGTAGTTGACGTGTTTGCCTCTCTACCTCATAGTTTACCTCGTAGTTTACACGTAGTAAACTGTGTTGTACAGTGAGCTCACTCCTGCATGATACAAGTTCTCTCCAACACAGTAGTCTGCCTCATGGTTGACATTTCTCACTTTGCAGTGCAGAAGAAGAGCTGTCCTGGGTGTACATGAAACACATATCTGTCCTGGTTGTACATGTAGTTGACGTGTTTGCTTTGCCTTTGCCTTTCTACCTCGTAGTTTACATGTAGTAAATTTATATAGTGTGGTAGAATGCGATGGAAAGGTTTTAGTATGCAATTTTCATGTGTTTAGGTTGGTGAGCAAAATGGGGGTTGGAATTTCAGCACTATAGAATGACATAAAGATGTTGAAAATGCTTCACTTGCCAAAGATTGACATGTATGTATAGGTGTGTGCAGTATGTACAGTGTTTACAAATTACATGGCTTTTTCGCACTCCCTCCCTCCCTGCAGGCACTATTCGTACAGTTCCAACACAGCAGTCAGTCGGCCCTGCCACCAGACGACCCATGATGCCACTGGCGTTGGATGACCGTATAAAGCCTGCCTGCACGAACCTGCGCTTGAAGTAGTCCAAGTCGTGCGACATGGCCCCGACAATATCATCGTGGTTCCGCCGCAAGGCGTTGATCTCGGGAACCTCAGTCATGCTTTGTTGTTGTGCTTGTACACACCATTTGGCGCATGCGTACCATAAACGACCTATCCTAACATCACCTCTTTTCGAGATCACTTTGCGTCTGTGCGTATTATTCCCTTCTTAACTTTACTCATTCCCTACTAAACTTTTTTTTATTTTTTTCAGATTATGAACACACCCTATGATCCAGTGGATAAGTTTGGATTCACATAGCTACCAGGTGTAGCCTCATCTTGAGCCTAGCCCCACGGCAGACCCTGTGGGATGAGGCTCCGATCCATACACCTTGCCACAGAACCACTGGACCTGTAGCCACAATCTTCAAAACTGTTGTTCATATATCTTCCAGTGTGTAATTGACCACGCAATGCTACACATATTCCATAAAATAACGGATTTTCCATGGTTAGGATACAGCTCAAAATATTAAGAGACACACACTGCTATAAAAAAATATATTTATTCACCTCTTAGGCTAGAACTTCATATGATTCTGTGGTCGACAATTAAGCTCGACATTTCTTAATAACCCTTTGGGCGCCATTTACATGCACAGAGCCTCCATAAGTGCATAAGAATTTATATATGGCTATAATACTAGGCGCTAATATGTTATACATCAATTTCTGCTTATTTAAGGAGACACCTATGGCGCCCAAAGGGTTAAAAGATAAGTACAGAAAAACCTCCAATAGCAGGACTGCAAAAAGTAAAATCAGTAGCAAAACACCGTTATTCCAATACCAGCATCAAAACGAGGCTCTACGTTTACTTCAAGGAACATGTAGTCATGAGTTATGTTGCTGTTATACACAATGTCGGCAAATAGACATTGTTGTCCTGATTGAAACCCAACTGATTTACCAGTTGTTTGGTCATCACTGTCGGGGATTATGGTCCCTAGTATTATAGCATCAACGTCCACCTGTTTTATCTCCACTGAGAGATTGTAAGTGAGTTGTGGAGCTCTGAATCGAAGAGAATAGTAGTCGTTTGACAGTATTCATAACACAAGGTTTGTGGTTAGTGAAACGCCGTCTTTACCGCCCAGAATCCTGTGTCTACAGTCCTTACAGTTTGGATCAAAATGGAGGCTGTTTCAACAGACCTGATGACATAATATTATAGAAATAGAGAGTGTAGTCGCTGTATTGATTGGAAGTTTTGGCTAAAGGCAAGGAAAGACATTATACAGTAGTTGAATGTGTTTCAGCTTATAGCTACACACAGGTGTTGAGAGATTTCCACCAGCTGAATTTCCTTCCGAGAAACTTTGCCCCATGCTCTTGTGAAACCAGTTTTGTGCATGCATTAGCCATTGGCATCAGGTTCTTTCATGACTCATAGAGATAATATACAAGAGATAATAACATTGATATAATTGGGTGATGAAATGTTCCATCCACACACTATTCTAAACACGAATTCTAAAGAGTCAACATAAACATAAATTTCTTATATAAAAGATTGCAGTGTAATAACTATGTGCTTGTAACAGTGCTAGAGTGTCTACTTTTCACTTTGGCTGGTGTTGCAGTAGATACTGTACCACATCATTGTGGTTGTTGGCTCTGGCCATACTCAGAGCAGTGTTTCCAAACTGTAGAGACAAATAGACGTCCATTAGATGTGTGTCAGATTAATATGCATGAAGACCTCCCATTACTATGATTGGCAAACAGAAGAGAACAGTTGGGTAGTACCCAGCCCCCTATCGCGATTTTTCATGAACAGTGCCACACCTCTTTATTGTGTGCAATGATAAATTACTGTGCTTTCGTAAAGCCTACGTGCATTTTTTCTTCATAAAAACGACAGAACGTTTGCCAGCTGAGCTGCCCCATAGCCAGAGAGCAGAGTGTCGTTGGTTCGACTCCCAGGATAGCTCTCTTTCCATGGAAAAGTCTTAGAATAGGTTTGACACACACACTTGTGTCTATGTACACCCTGTGGTTCATGAGGATACTCTTCCTACACATCATAGTGACTCAGTGGTCTACCTTATTAGGAATGTCTCTGGCCCCAGCTCCAGTAGTTTCACCACCTCTGAGTGACCTTTCCATCCTGCATAGAGCAAGGCTGTGCCTCCACTCTGTGTTTAGAGTATAATAGAGACCATCATAGCTAATACAAAGTGTTTATTAATAATGTTTGTAATGTTTGTAACATTATGAAAGAGACAAGCATTGGATCATTATCTAGTGTAGTTATAAACTAGTTTGTTGCAAAAAAAAGCGACAGTGGCACACTTCCTGAGTAGTTTTGTCTGGGCTGCCATTGTGACCAAATAATACTTTGCCACCCAACACATGGCTCCTCCCATCTAATTACCCACTGAGTGATTGGGTGAGAGGAGGGTGTTGCCACTCCCTCCTGCCCGGAGTACAATCACAGGGACTAAACCCTGGAAGTAATGGAGCCCGGTCCATTAACTGAAATATGTATCCCTAGGAAACTATCAGTTGTTGTGGAAGAATTTGTCAAATAATCGCTCAGACCCTGACTTCCCACATGACATCAACCACACAAAACTTGCACTTGTGTGCATGCCATGTGCTGAGATGCACGTAGGAAAAAGTATGTTGATTTTGACAACCAAAAACTTCTCAACCTTGTTCTGCTGGTTGACGTTGGCTCCTGCCTCCAACAGTCTCTGAACTGTCTCAGTGCGTCCATTCTCGGCAGCTATCCCCAGAGGAACAGAACCATCCTGATGAGAGAGAGAAACTGTGAATTGATGTGTTCAGCATTGGCAGGTCAGTGAGGACCAGACACCTCAGAGTGTGGTTTCAGAGGATCAGGGAATGAGACACGACACTAACCAATACTCAGACAATACAATGAGTCAGAACACAGAAGTGCAAATGGAGCTATAAAAAAAGAGTAAGAATGCTGCGTTCTCAGGAAAACCAAGAGAAAAAAGTGTAAATTCAGTATGAAGGGTGAGATGGGATGTAGTAATGTTAAAGGATAGGGAATGAGACACGACACTAACAAACACACAGACATACAATGCATCAGAACATGGTAGATATGGCTTTTCACTTTCGTAAAAGTGCTGCGTTCTCACGAAAACCAAGAGAAAAAAGAAAGTTCCATAAATTATGAAGGGTGAGTATGGGATGTAGTGTTTCCTAAAATGATACACTGTGTATTATACCTAGCTGATAGTAGAGTGAGACAACGGGAAACTAGACCATTATTGTGGGATCAGACACATACATATACAAAATACAGACATATTCTCGCACGC